AAAAGGTTTACTTGACAAAATTCCCATCTTGACATCAAACGAATACTTTTGAAAAGTGATTTCTCGTTTGAAATATCGTGTCATTGCGTTCTTCAATTTTCTGTTTTATAGTTTTGTAATAAATCACATGATTCTATAACGTAGGTACCAGAAAATAGTTATTTGGGATAACATTAACGTAATTTAAGGTATCCACAGTCAAAAGTGTTTCTATTCGTTTCTTTTTTATTTTGGAAGGCTTTCACTTCCAGAATTTGATTTATTCAAATGAAAAAATGTAATTATGAAATTTGTAATTTTTAATCGGAAGATAGAATATCAAATGTTTTGATCAGAACCTGTCCCTCAGTTATTTGAAAAAACAACAATCATTCAAGTTCATAAATGAATATAGAAATGTTGCCCTACCATCAGGATAGCATTGCTATTTTAAAATGGTAAAATATTCTTTTTATTTATTGCGAAAAATGGGATCTTATACTTTGCAAATTTCTGCACCCCTTTGAACACATGAACACATGATGCAAATTGAATGTATTCTCTTACCCACTATATTTATCCAGAGGAACCAAAAGAGAGTAATCCAAAAATATTATTTGAGATGACTGCATCAGCACCGACGTTGAACTCACGCATGTAAACAAAAGCGTTATCAAGCAATCGTTTATTTTTGGATCATTATTATAAAAAGTAACGACAACGCGATGTCAGTAGATGTTAAACATAGACCCAGATTTTAAAAATAACCAGTTACTACTTAGAAAACCTAGCTATATTAATTACGTCAAGGATTGCCAAATAACACGAATCAAAGTAGTTTATTATCCAACTAGATTGAAATGACAAAAACAAATAATAATGAAATGAGATGAATGCTGATACATTTATATCAATTTTGATTTTCGTAAATTTGATAGAGATATCCAAAATGCATTTTACAAACTTCAATTTACCAGATAGAGAGGTTTAGCAAAGGGGAGAACAACCTTTTTATTCAACGGGCCAATTTAAATTTTGAAATTTTTTGGCTACAATTTAAAGTTGTAAATACAGCAAAACATATTTGTCCATTCAACAATGTAAGTATATTGATCTGAAAAAAGGTTTACTAAAGTTGCAAAATTTTTTTTCGAATTATACAAAACTAAGCTTGTGAAAACTACAAACTTTTGTGTTGATTTGAAATTGCTCGAAAGAAAATCAACTGAAAAATATTTTGCTAATCGCAACAAAATTTATTTTTGTTCATTTGAACAAGATCTTCACTTGTTGATATCAGCAATTCATGTTTTTTGTTGATTCCACTAGAAACTGAAATGGATCGATTTTCACTAAAGTTTTAGTCAATTTGTAGTTGAAATTGACTCCACTTTTTCCACTGTGTGACTGCTGTCGTCGTCGTTACGAATACTCATCAACTTCTCACTCTCGATATTCTAAGCCGAATATGTGTGTATATACATATTAAGTGTATATGGGAAACATCATGAAAAGAGAGGGGTTCAAGGTGATGTAACAGTGACAGTCAAGGTCTAACTTCAAGGTCACGTACCATAGAGAGTCTCGAATCTCTGGGTCATATGGCATGCACATAATTCAAGGTCGTGAGACTTTCTTCAAGGTCTGACTTCGAGGTCAAGTACCAGGTTTGATCTCTAATCCCAAGGTTAACTTATATTTTCATGTAATATGACATAACAGATAGCTAGAGGTCGTGTGACATCATTAGAAAGGTCGAGTAGTGAGAAGAGATCCTAAACCGGCCTCAGGACACTACTGAGGGGACAAGCGGACTAGAATGTGTGGACGGATTGGATTCCCAGAAAAAAAGACAAAAATGAAAGATCGAAAGTCATGCAGTGATCGATGGTGGCATAATTCATGATTCAACTGAAAAATAGGAGCCTCACGAAACGATTTGAACTACCTACTGACGATAAGGCTCTTTCCACCCCACTAACCTCCAAAGCTACGGTCATCCAGGGCTCCGTTTTACCCCCGTCGCTGTTCTTCAGTCCACGACGCATGCACAAACCAAAGAATAGTACAATTCGCCGCTGACATCATCCTATATTCCTCAACCCCAAATACCCGAGTGCTACAACTCCAATCGAAATCATGATGAACCACTTCGCGCTCTGGTGCAGCAAATGGTAAATTGAAATGAACCCCACTCAAACACAAACCATCCGCTTCAGACACCTCAATACCACAACTTGACCAAGACAGACTACTAACAACTTGCACCTCAGTGTAACGAAAGACCACAAACAAGACTACCAAAACCAAACCTCAGTAAAAAAAACAACCAAAAAACTTATTTGAATCGAATTGAGAAATACGCCAGTTATACTCCCAAAAAGGATTGTGTATACCAACAATCAAAACGACGTGAAGTTACTTGATTTGAAAACTTTCATTGATATTTTTTTTTCGTTTTTTTATCATTTTCCTTCGATTTTCAGTTTTTGATTATTGGTATACAGGCCGTTTCTTTTATCAAGTGGTAACATTGCTATATTCTAAACCGTAATAGATACGAAGACAATTAAATGGGAAAAAAGGTAACTGTCATCGGAACAATACAATGGTCGAAGAAAATTCACGAGAACTCTCGCCCCTCTCGAGTTATATGGGGAAAATCAAAAATGTTGTTTTTCTTTTTTTTTCGAATGGAATTGTTATTGTTATGTTGAAGAATATAAAAAAATGGAAAAATAAAATGTTATTGTATTCGAAGTTTACTATGACAATGTGATATTAAATATTCGATAAACCGTTTCGTGTCAACATGGCCACCATCAACTTTTTTCCAAATACATATCTTTCTGACCTCGCAGGGTCTATTTATACGTTTGGTATGAAAAACAATATTTGAACAGTGTCAGCAATTGCTTTGTCTGGAGCACAAGTGTTCATATTGCTGATACTGCACAATAAGCACTTTTAGCAGGAAGCTGTTATCGCTTTGTAATTTAATACGTGTGAGACGCTAATTCGCATATAACATATATATGCATGGAACTGATAATAAATTTTCCCTTACAAGAATAGGTTTGCAGCTATCACGATAATCCATATCAAAAATCAGTCTTATAATGCGCTTTTGGGCAACAAATATTCTATTAAGATCTCTACCACATCCCCTTGACATTATACTTGAGGAAATATGCGGATATGCCATTGCAAAATATATACTTGAAATATTTTTTTTTTTTATCTACAAGCTATTTCATCTGCTTAATCGCGAAAAATGCTGCATTGAGTTTATTGCAAACCCTATCAATATGTAGATCCCAATTAAAAGATTCATCTAACATGATTCCTAAAAATTTAACATCATGTGACATCACTATTTCATCAGTAATATCAACTTCATCTGGAATGTTATTTTATCTGTTATAAAATTTCATCGAAACAGATTTGGAGTTATTCAATATCAAGTGATTGCATTCACACCATGACGTAAATCTATCAATAACCTCTTTGACTCTTGTTAATACATCTTCCAGTGTAGCAGTGATTGTCATTGTGATATCATCTGCAGTTCTACTCATTACTAAACTCATCACCAATTTTTCATTATTTCTATATTATTTTCAACTTCAAAAACAAATATTTCGAATCTCGTATTTTCAATAGTTTTTTCACTTGTTCTTTTCAATGAAATGGAAGTTGAAAACTCCAACGTTCATCAAATGTGATTCGAACACATGAACTCTAAAGCAGGTGCTGCTCAAGCAGTAAAATCTAGTGAAATTTTTTAAATTCCACTTCATTTGTACTGATTCCTGTTTATGCAACTGGGGCTATGCTAAGACAGTCTCAGAGGTTTCATCAAAAGGTATTTTACATGCGAACATGATAAATGAATTACATGAAGTAATAGAAAAGTTATTTAACATGCAAATATAAAAATAAATTTATGAAGTTACAGAATCATAATTGACAACAGTTTTAAACTCTTTCCGTATCGAGAATCATTCATGTACATGTATTTAGGTAATAATTTTGAACGAATAAACAATGAAGAGAATATATTCATATGTAAATTAATATTGTTCACGTCATACATCACATCACCCAACCACTAATTCGGATCAGGATCAATTAACATTTTCTCTCGACCTACATTGTACTATCGTTAAACGATGTCACAAGTGGGTGTGGATATCTACACAAAAACAAAATAATTACCACTCAACAACAATTCCATACTATCAACTATTGAAGTTTTATGACCTTCGTGGTATTTTGGCCTATGTATAATTTATTTAATTTACTTTCAGTAGGAAATGATATATGTCTTGTTGGAACTTAACGACTAATAAATTTATTGATTTTTGGAATATGTAATATGCCCTATGTACGAGTATACATTAAACATATTAGGAGCAATATCTACCAGTTAAAAGAAATGAATTTGAAGAAAAGTTGAAAATAATAGAAGCAATCATGGCAAATCAAAATTATTAATTTTATCACAAAATTTTTTTGATTAAAGGTGAAATACTATAGTAAAACCAGTTCCAGATTCCTCATTTTGGGTCCTTCAGGATACTTATATCGAGTGACAGATCCACATTATGAATGATTAATAATTTTAATAACAATATTTCATTCATAATTCATCTCTCTATTGAACAATTTGTATGCTATTAATATATTTTTTATTATTATTTGCATCGGACAAGTGTCTAAGATGTTATCAGAATATTTTCAATGATTTAGAATCGTTATTACTAGAGTTTTATCCCAATACCAAACTGTTAGTTCAACACCTCGACACGTGTTTTGATCACCTAGTGATCATCCATCAATCGATCACTTGGTGATCCAAACACGTGTCGAGGTGTTGAAATAACAGTTTGTTGTTGGGATGACTCATTGAATCTTTTTTCAGAAGAGGGAGATGTTTTATTTTGCAAGTGCATACACACCTATACGAAAATACCTATATGAGAATATGACAAAAATGTAATTCATTCCCTATAGATTCGCTGAGGTTTCGCGAATACATCGTAGAATAGAACTGTACCTATAAGTAATAATTATTGTTGAATGAGGCAACTCCTGCCAAATTTTCTGTACACTATCCGTGGTTTTACAGCAGTGAAAGTTTATCAAGTTGTTTAAAAAAATGTCTATAATATTGTATCGGCAGTAGTCCTCAAATATAGTTGTTGTTAATTCATTTTGATGTTGAGTAAAGTTCCTGAAATACGTAGTTTTCCTTTCCACGTAACCTTCCCAGCAACTCAGCGTCATCACTAACATTAATAATATATTCAATAATAATAATAATCTTTATCACCAATTATTAAAAAATAAATCACATTTTGTTTATACAGTTAGGGCGAGATTCAGATTGTATGTAATAATGAGTATTGTACAATATGAAATATAATGCAACAGTTAACATACATCTGCTCTTCCATTTCATATATAGTTGAGACATCCCAAATGTAATTCCAATAAAACAATACAAAAACAAAAATTACACCACAAAGAAGGAATAAATTGACTACAAGACTGGTGAATTATTTTCGGCCTGAATATACAATAAATAAAATAACCAATGTTACGTCAATACGTCAAGTAACCAGGGGACTGGGGGCCCTGTCCGGAAAACCAATGTGGCCTTACGGACGGGATTGCCGGACTTCTGGTCAGTGGCAAAAATAAGTTGCGTGAGGGAAACTAAAACTCCCCGAAAGCCACTGCGAAACATGCCACCGTGGACTAGCCTACCCAAGCTAAGGTACCGACAGCCGAATGGCTGCAGGGTGATATGCGGTTACGAACGATCCCCTTGGGGAACCGGGCGAAACCCGCCTTCCTCTGATAATGCGGGTCTCTGTCAGAAGTGACCAACTCTTTCCTTGCTACTCGTGGGAACACACATGGATACAATAAAAAAAAAACAACCAATCCAGAGGCTGGATAGAAATGTTCACCTCAATCTATGGCGATGGCTGGGAATGAACAGAAAGGTCCACCCCAATCTACCGCTCAGAATGAGACTGGACATAGCAGATCACGTCGTAACGCAACACAAAGGCCAAGGCGTGAGCGCATTTGCAGCGCCGAGGCCAAAAGGAGAAAGTGAGCGAAAGAGACAGGAATGGCAGCAACTATAAGTGCACCCTCCTCCTCTTCCACTCCACTTTCAACAGCAAGGGCAGTACCTGCGACGGGCGCCAAGAGCTCCGCTTTGAATGAAGGCAAGAAACTGGCTGCCCCTGCAGAAAAGCACCCTCACGTGGGGGAACCCCCAGAAGATTGAAGAAGCAGCGCAACGACAGTAATGTCGCTGCATCTTCCAAAACCTTCGTGGAGGCCGCCTGAGACACCTCAAGGTTGCCATCATAGAGGAGACTAACCCGTACGGTTAGGTTACCGCAGAACGGGAGAGTCTTATCAAAAAAACAACTGCTGGTGGTGCTTGACAAGATCATCTCCTTCGCCTCCAGCAGCAACAGCAAACCGCTCACGTTCAGGTCGTGGACATATTCGGTGAAATCAGCAAGAGTTTATTACTGACTCTTGAAATCCTCGTTTGAGTGCACTTAGTTCTTCCATTAGTTGGGAAAAGTGTTTTTTATCTGCAATGATTTTTACTAAAATTTCTTTTAGATTATTCCAGCACTTGATTTTTTTTCCAGAGAGCTGAGCTTCAGCACTTCCAGTTAACCTTCAAAGAATGAATGCTAAAAGTGGTGTTGCAAAGGTATCTGTATCATCACAATTACTTATGAATTCGTGCAATTCTAATCTGTTCACATCAAAACATTTTGGAATCAATGAACAAATGAAAGACCTTTTTAATTCTACGTTATTGGTAGAATTTGTTGAATTTGCTTGAGGCATGATTTTTTAAACTTGTGAACTAAATACTTTTAAAGAAAGAACTTATTCTGCGAATCGGGTTAACTAAACTTTATTTACAGATTGATATTTTACTGACTTCGGTATACGACAAGAGGCGAACTGTAGTGCTGTCTTAATTTAACTGTGTCCGTTATGA